TATGTTTATTATTTCTAAACAGAAAATAAACTTTTTAATAAATATACATGAAATAATCATTGTACTTTTGTTTTGATGATTTCGTTTTTTTTCGCGTTACCCTCTAAGTTTAATAATAATAATAAAAATGATAATAGTAATAATATCATGCATGTATGTATTTTTTTTATTAACGAACGCCCAGTGTATAATAGGAATTTCGAATGGAATTATAAAAAGTAACAAAAAAAATTTCATTTTCGTATTCAATGTTTTGTACTATTATTCATAAAATAATCCAAGGCACAACTAAGAGTTGTATGCACGTAATATCCTTGACTAAAATTCATTGTTTCCGTAAATAACAGAAGACGAAATCACTGAACGATTTTAACGGCTGCGTTTGTTTAAACGAGGAATGGCAGATCGTAGTGTTATATATTTATATATAATATATGCAAATTCACATTCACACTGGATGTCTACCAACAAGTGATCTTTTTATTAACAAAAAATTGATTCAACTTGAAATAGTTTTAATTTTGAAAATTATACAATAATCGTACCTTATGCTGTGTATCTGAACATTTAATAAGGTATTTGTTTATTTTTCTTTTTTTTTTTTCCTCTAAAAAGTTACTTCTATTTTTTTAATAATAATATCTTAATTTAAAACGGATTTGGAAGTGTGATGCGTACACGTAAATCTACAAAAAATATGAGTACAAAAACCATTAAATGACTCAGACCAAGACAGTTTGACCGATCTGATTTTGGTATTCACACGAATACTTTGGCGAGAGCATCGGCGCCTGCACTTGCGATAAATGGCCGCGAAGGATGAAATGCTACGTCTAAAATACTTTCATCAAACTTTTTACGATGTGCTGTTATCTCTTGGACACAAGTCTTATTATCCATATTCCACAACCTTATACTGCAATCATGACCTGAAATGAAAAAAAAAGTTGTAAAAATCAAATAAAAGAGATGGACTTTTGAATAAAGTTTTATCGAATCAAATAACGATCAAGATATATGCTTACTTCCAGAAAGTAAATAAAGACCATTAGGATCTACAGCAAGACTAGTAACAGCGTCCAAATGCGCCACCATTGCGTGTACGAGGCTGGCGGAACGGTGATCATAAAAACGAATATGACGATCTTCGTTGGCCGCCACGACCAGTGAAAGTATGGGATGAGCCACAAGTCGATTAACGCCCTGAATTTCATTGCCCGACAATCTCGATACAACCACGCCTGTCTCGGCATCATAAATTACACACGCTTCTTCGTACGCAACGACCAGCTTGTGCGGCTCGTCTCTTATGAAATCTACCGATGTAGGATTCCTATCTGTAAGTGTTAAAAAAACAAGTTGACGAAACTATTTGATAAATCGTTGTTCTAAGCTGCGTAACATTAACAAAATGTACCTCGCTCAGATGTGTAAGTGTTGAGTAGCGGAACTTTGCTAGAGAGACTCCAGAGCTTGACGGTACCATCCGCACTGACAGACAGCAGTTGCGAATGAGAGTGGCACATGCTCAAGCCCCAAACGGCGTCCGTGTGTCCCGTGAACGTTTGACTAAGCAGACTAGGATCGTACGAGTCGTAAGGATCTATGTTAGCCGGCGGTAGTGTCCAACAGTGTATTTTGCTGTCCAGTCCGCCGCTATAACAGTGACTTCCCGTGTTGTCCATCGCTAAACATAAAACAGGCCCTGTGTGCGACCTAAATGTGTACAATGGTTCTACATCTAATGATGCTGACCTAAAAGAAAGCAGAATCAAGTCTCACACAAATGTGTCTCAAGAAGAGTTTTTGCATTTAATAAAGAATATGTCTTTTGATGGATACTTTTTTGCAGGAACAGTCTTTTGAAGATTCCATAGTTTAAGTGTATGATCATCGCTTCCAGTTATTAAAACTGGCTCCGTTGGATGAAAAACGAGTGCTCTGACACCATCGAAATGCGAACGTAGAGTATATTTTGCGTTCCATGATTTTCTAAGTGGTTCTTCATTATTTGCCTGTATCTTGGAAAATTGCAGGAAAAAAAAATTAACAATAAAAGAAATAACATCGAAGAAAGTACAAATAATTATAAAAAGACTACCGTACATCATATGCTGCTTCGGCATCATTATTGACAGTTAACTGAGCTAATTCACCTAAGCCCAATGACGATCCACTTTCTTCGCCAGGTCGTCTGGGATCCGATTGCATTCCTCTATGAACTGCATCTAGATGGATAAAAGTTTTCACGTATATAAAAAAATCATGCTAGGTGTTGAACCACGTGGATTTAAAAAATACAACTTACTCCAATTACTAGTGTCCATATCTACGTGTATAATTGCTTCTTCATGTTCCGTTAAAAGATTCAATTCGTTTAAAACTTCTTCCGCTTCTGCGTCAACATCTTCTCCTAACATAATAGACGTCTGCCAAAGTAAAATGTATAGAAAACGATTAGTAATGCGTGCTAATATATTTAATTTGTTACTAGCCAACTATTAATTAGTCAAATTGTTTTGTTACTGAACTGCGTTAAAGTCATTGCTGTTGAAAATGATGTTGTCGCTTACTTTATTTTGCTTAGAGTCTGTATTTGAGTCATAAATCTCCTCTTCACCGTCATTTTCGTCTTCTTCAATGTCAATATCTGTATGGGCAAGAAATTCGAAATTCGCCATCACAGCTGCTTCTGTTTTCATAATCATAGCCTCGGCCATACTTGTCGGACGCTGCAAAAGTTTTTATCATTTTAAATAAACACGCGCCAAAACAATGTACAACAAATTCGCATAATTGTAAGAATATATTGTATCTTGATCATTTACACAGACTCCCGCGGATGTACGAAGCTTAGAGCTTAAATTACAGCGCTGATTTCCTGTTAAACCTTGAGTATTTGTTTCTTCTGAGTCAGTGTTGTTATTCAAACCGAGTAGGGACTTTACCCTGTTTGATCGTACATCTATTATTGTGTCAGTGTAACCGATTTCCTGTAAATACCTGAAAAAATTAATTCATTGAATTTCAATCTGACTCCTAACGTGTGATATATTTTACTAGCTAAAAAATGTAATTACTACGAAAAAATAATTAAGCCCGACAATCTTCATCAGTGAAATCTAATTTTGTACACATTCATTACGTAATGGCGCGAAATCAGTATTATGAAGATACACGACTAGCAGCTTAGTATGTACACACATTATGAGATATTAAACTACCTTTACATCGTTTGATAAAAACAAAGCATCTGTACGTTGAATTACATTCACGCCTGTTTTCAACAAAGTAAAAGTAAGCAAAGAAAAGTTAAAAATATTTTTAATGCAGGATAAGTGAGTAATATTAATATTAAAATGTGTAACATGTATGACATAATAAAATGTAGTTAAACCCTTTTTTTACAGACTAAGATCCATTGATTTTATCATATTATTCATATTTGTAACATTATTATTCGTTTTAGATGTGTTTATCTGTTACAATTTTTACAAAGTAAATCATAGTTCAAATAAAACTACTGTCCAAATAAAAATAAAAAAAGATTTAAACTTTTCCAATAGATTTTTGACAAATAAATCCTAATAATCCCCCATTTTCCCCACAGAATGAATTAAAATTTCGTCATTTTCTCCCTTATTTCGAATTCAGCCACTGTTTTTCCAAGCCTCTACCACCCTCACAGCCCTCCAGTTGCTTCACTACATACCCCCAATCCCCCCACTCCCCTGAAAAATTTATCTTGATCTCCTCCCACCTTTACAGCTTCCAACATCATTTATGTAAAATTTACTCTTCCTACCTTAACGGACCCCAAAACCTACCCGTACACAAACATGTTTAAACATAATTTCATTTTCAAATGTGTTAATGTATGTGGACGTCACTTACGTTATTCTGACAACTACTATTGTTTAGTAAGACTTTCTACCAGACTCTACCAACCTCATAAGTAATTAAATCATTTTCTTTTCAAGAAATCTTTCAACTGACCTGATACATTATCTAACCTGATAGTGAGATATATAGTAAAACTGTATGTAACCTTTATAATTATAGGAGGCTGTGCCCCCTGCCCACTCCACGTACCAACCCCCAAAATTAAATCAAACATTTATTTTCTATATTTTTAAAGAAAAATACAATAATTATATCTTTGTCGTAACACGTAGTATTGTAATATTTATCAACTTACAAATTAAAACGACTTTTCACTGATTTTTCTAAATCTTATTTTCAAATCTACCCGCACTTGATTAGTCTCAGCCAATCACGTGACGAATAAACAGACTTGATCACGTGACCCATCGTTTTTTTAAGATAGGATAAATAACAGTTTCATATCTATAATTTGTTATACCAATTTAATTGTAAGTATATAAATACAGAAATATAACAGTAAATCTACCCATTCATACGTCTACTGGGTTTGCAAATTGCATATATCAGAGAAGAAAATTGGTTTCCAGTGACAATAGATTCAAGCAGTGATGATATGTCAGCATCTTTTAACTGCCGTACTCTGCTTTATCGGATAAACCTTCTTACAATCTAGTTTCTCAATATTCTCAGGATCATGTTTTAAATACCTATTCCATTTGTTACTAATCAATTTTTTTTAATGTTATTACAGCCTCAGGCCGTATAATCTTCACGTTCTTCCATCGATTCATAAACCTCTCAGTAATATCATCAAATTAGGTAAAGATAAAATATCCAAACAGAATGTGACAGAGGTCGTGTATAAGTCCTCTTATGGCGATTGTCTCGCTATTTATGTTGGACAGACGATACGAGCTTTGAAACATCGTATTAATAAATATTCTAAGGGATATAAAGGCGATTCAGTTGTATTTAAGCATGTAAGTAATTTTGGACCCAATTTCAATTAGAACTCTGTAATTTTATGTGACAAAGAACCCAACTAAAAAAAAGATTGTTATCAGAGATGATTTATAATTATTTAAATGGTAACACTTGAAGTAAGAAAGACGACGTTGATGGGCTAAGTAGAGTGTATTCACCTTCGTGGCGAGTTTTGTCAAATATTGATAGGCGCTGAGCGGTCTGATGTCTGTTATTGTTGCAGTGTGGTCAGTCGCTGTGCCAAGGCATAATTAGCCCAGTGCTCGATGTAGATATAAAGTTGACAAGAGTTAATTTTAACTCGTACCTTTTTCAGTAACGCCAGTTTGTCGGTAATAACTTTTAAATTGTAATAATAGTTACTTAATTTTTCTTTATATTATAAAACTTTTGTATTTGATTGTACGTTGTTTTGTGTGTTTTATAGTCAATAAACTATTTTAGCCTGTTCAGCTGGCAGAACGTAGGCCAGCGAAACGTTGCCGTATGAAAAGATAGTTTTGTCTATTTATTGTCCTCAAGCGATCGTTTATGAATTTCTGTACGACTATAATTCAACTTATTTATTTTAAATATTTTAGGAGATTTATTTATCAGTTATGATACTTTACTTATTTACCGTTACGATATCGTACAAAACCATATTATTCGTAGTACTTCAGTTTAGTTTAATAGTACGAAAGGCTTTTAAACATATAAAAGTTCAAAAAAAGTATTCTAGTATTGTTCATTTACCTGATTCACATCTGTACCTGCACAATGTTACCCCAATTACACAATAAAAGCTTTTAATTGGTGTACACATTTTTTTTTTAAATTTCCTATAAGATAGTTTTTACTGTTAATAGTGTACGAATCCCTATAAATGGATGATTTTTTTTTTAATTTTCAGAGCCGTTCGAAGTTCCCATACAGGTCCGATTCGGCTCTGCATTGCTACGTTACTATGCACATTTATGCGCTATTGTCACTCCCATGGTAAAAAAATAGCCTCAGATTTAACGTGATCAATTACTTACACAGTAATAGGGGACTTATTTTACATGGCTTTTGAACCACTGGACCACGGTTTGAAATACGCACATAAGCAATTGGGTTTTCATAGGTACAACCCAAGTGTGTAAAGATCGGGTTTCGAACTCGGAATCCTGTGTTACAAGGCTCCCGAGCTGTAAGAACCACAACCTAAGCTACCGTGCTACCATGGCCTCAAAATGGATGATTTTAAATGACACAAGTATTTAAAATAGTTATCCTATAGGTAATTTAAATTATCCGACAGGTGTTATGTTACAGAAATTCACTTGCACCTTTAATGTATTTCATACATAAGAAGACATATGGTGATGTATGGTTATACAATGTAAAGTGGTGAGCCCTGGCGTTATTTCGTTTTTTCAACATACTTTTTGTATCATACAAAACATAGTTTGATATCGTCATTTGTATCATTAGGGTGACTGTCATGTGACGTTGCACTTTCACGCCCTGAGACACTATAGAGTGTCGCAGCCAGGGCGGTCCCGAGACAACGTCCAAAGACACTATCGCCAATCCTCTCGCCAAAGTCCGCCGTATCCTGAAACGNAAAAATACAATAATTATATCTTTGTCGTAACACGTAATATTGTATTCTTTGTCAACTTACATATTTAAATGACTTTTCACTCATTTTTCAAAATCTCATTTCTAATTCTACCCGCATTGGATCAGTCTCAGCCAATCACACGACGGATAAATAGACTTTATCACAAGACCCATCGTTTTTTTAAATAGGAAATAAGAAAGTTACTAAACTTAGAGAATGTAGAGCAAATCATTGAATGAATGAAATCTTGCGAAAGATGTAAAAAACTGTCTAGTTTAAATATTCTTAAATTAAAACTATAATTAAAATTCTAGATTATTTTAAAGTTAACTGTTGATTGATTCACATAAATTTCCACAGTTATTATAACGGAAACTGACACATTTCTTACTGCCTCTTCACATGTGTAATACATGATCCTCATTAAATGAGGATATGATTACTGATAAAAATAATATCTGTGTCACTTTCTTGAAAGAAGATACAATAAATATTAGATTTGAAGTAAGGTTGTTAATACGTTGTAGCAGTGTCATACAATTCATTTTATAGTAGATATTTGTTTGAGGTACTTCGACCTGCACATGTGCTTACAAACTTTTTTGATATGGGTAACGTTCTGCTATTAATCAAGACACTAAAGATAATTAGAAGTATCTAAAAACAAAACAAATTCCTGTACTACTTACTTATAAATGATCCATATTTAATTTTTTTGAAAATAACGTAATTAAAAACATTTAGTTAGTTATTGCAGTGCTTACAGTAACAAGTTAAGTAGAAAATGCATATAGTAAAATGCCAGCTAAGTAGTAAATATCATGGCCTTGTACAACGTTTGACTAGTATTTTTTTTTAAGTCCAAAAAGGTAAGACAATTTACGTTTTAAGTTTGAACGCAATTACTGACAAAGACAATTTTTCAATAGTGATTTTTGATACTGATAAGACTATTGGCAAAGATTTACTTTTGAAAAGTCAAACTTGCTATTTATAGGACCTGAACGGTAGCGTAAAAATTTATAAAAAATTGCTTTTATCTGGAAAAAAATGAAATAATACAACAATCAAAAAACAAACATACAACCAAAAATACAATATTCATAAATTTCTTAAAAAAGATGTAAAAATTATTAGATTTAAAGTGAGGTTGTTTAAACGTAGCATTAGTGTCATACGATTCATTTCATAGTAGATATTTCTTTGACGCACTTCGACATGCACATATGCTTACGAACCTAACGTTATGTAAATAATTAGGACACTGACGATAATTAATAGTATTGAAAAACAAAGGAAAGTCGTACACTACTTACTCATTAATAATCTGTGCCTTAGTTTTTTTTAAATAACGTAATTAACAACATTTAGTAATTCGTTGCAGCTTTAACAGTAAAAAGCTAAATAGAAGATGCATATAGCAAAATGCTAGCTAAGTAGCAAATACCATGGTCTTGTACAATGTTTGATTTACACTTTTTTTTTTTTGCAAGTCCAAAAAGGTAAGAATCATGAAGTTTAAAATTTTAACACAATTAAATCCAAAAAACATTTGTGAATAATGATTTTTAACAGTGACAGGGCTGTTGGCGAAAATTGGATTTTAAAAGAGTCGAACTTGATGTTTATAAGACCTTAATGGTACTGTTAGAATTTATGGAAAATTTATCTTTAACTGAAAAAAATTAATGCAAGAACCACAAAAAGTCTAGAAGATTGAAAACAATTTTTTTTTTAATATTTAAAAAGCTGATTACAATATTTTTCGTACTTATCAACATAGTAAAAAATTAGATAAGTCAAAAGGATCATATAACGAATGCATTTCTTGTGCTCTACAAGATTGTGAGATAATATATAGCATTATTAAAACGTATCCCACTCAAAATCACGTATTAAAGTGACGAAAATTTTTTTTAAAGTTATAATAATCTTAGATGATTTTAAAAAAGTTTCACCTAAAATTAATATTGTGTTATTGAATCAATATCTTTACGCTCATAAATTTATAAAAATTTTCTTGGTAATTAAAAGCCGAGATCAAAAATAGTGACAAAAAACATGATTTTTAGAGTTTTAAGCGACCAAAAACATATTTCACTCTTCCGGACTATACTCCAAACTATTTTTTACTAAAAAAGATCCCTAAGCAAAAATTTCAAATATAATTTATCTTAATAATACATATACACTTATCTTTACAACTAGATATAACTTTCAAGTTTCTTAAGCATATCATATTTGCTTATTACATATAAAACTTGTACCACACAGCCAACATGAAAAAATGGTACACTACGTCATTAGGGCACAAAATGCAAACATGATCGCTCGAACGGTGTGATTGTTTCATGTTAGTGCCCAAGTCGCATATAATGTTGTTCTTATCGAGGGTGCAAAGAGCAATTTTTTCTAAAATCCTACCGTTAATATATATAAAAACCTTGTATGTTGTAAGCGTTTCAAAAAAACAGCTTATAAAGTTATTTTACGTCTTTTTTTGATATTAACGTAAGAATGTGAGCCCTTAGATGTTATTTTATTTTATTTATTTATAAAAAAAGTTTTTGATCATCATCCCTAGACTTAGCTTACCAGTATTAACTCAGAAAATAACTATTTAATATCGCTTAATACATGCAAAAATACAGTCACACTTTCTCGTTAGCAAAACAGGCTGACTTAATAGCAAATAATAATAATTATTTGCACACTGTTGTGATACTTAAAAGAGAGTGGGCCAAAATTTTCACACTTACTTTAATCTTTGATTAGGACATTGCATTTAATATTTATGTACTTACGATACTGGCAAGACAACGAAAAATTCTTTGGGAACCGAGTGCTATCCCCCTGTTAAACTAAAAAATAGCTCATTTTGAGTAAATATTTAGAAAAAAAAGATCTTTATGAAACTTATCATACCTAACTAGTAAGGTATCAACGTCAAGGTGTGGGGTGTGTTTAGCCTGCCAAAATAAGCAATGTTGTAAAATACAGATAACTACAAGATTTTAGTTAGTAATAAATGAGGAAGTTATATTAACTAATTCACTAATCTTTCCCGAACAGTTACTCATGGAAACATGATTCAACTACTTACAAACTTAAGTTCGCTTACGTTATGTAACAGTAAGGTTATATCATGTCTCTTTATATAGCACAACTCTATTCGTACGAAAGTGTTGACAATGCCAATCATGCCCTATGTCATGTAATGATAGTGTTCCACATAGATATCTTTTTAAAATAATGTTACGGGTTTTCTTGGTATTGATGAGTGATTTTACAAAATAGCTGTTTAAAGAGAAAGGTTAACAGAACAAAATAAACTTGAGCTGACAACTTAAAAGATGATAGTCTTATTATACAGACTGCTAAAAAAACTCAATCAACTTTTCTTTCTCATCAGATAAAGAGTGCCTTATGTGGACTTTCTGCTTACTTTATTCAAAACATTTTTTTAACTGAATCAGTGGACGTTCCAAGGATTATTTTCTAACCACTTGTATATTAATTAACTTTTTATGTATGAAGAAAATAAGAGTATTGAGTTTTCTCCACGTTTTCGAGAGTACTTTAATCTCCGATATGGATAATGTTTCAAAATTTTTTGTCTTTTTTAACTACATTACATACTTGCTCGAAATTCTTTTTAAGAAAGTAAACCTCAAATGGCTTATATTAACACGCATAACAAACTTGTAAACGAAAGATTTTTTAATAGTTTGTGTTAACTTACTACTGTTAGGAATAGATATCCTGTCAATGTTAACAGAACTATCAGTTTCGGAAGCTGTATTAAGTCCAGGATATGAGCTCTGTGTTTGAGATGGTGTTTCTGGTGGATGTGCAGGTCCCTAGAATAATAAGATGTTTGTCAACAATATTCTTGTTTGATTAGAAACAAATTAATAGAATATCAACATAATACAATTTTTTTCATACTCAGAAGCTCAATCATCTATTACTTTGAATAGTATTATATTATAATGATAATCAAACAACAATTCGATTTGAAGGAGTATTTTTGACTTAAATTATTTACCAAGGGATGAGATGGTGATGAATGTCTGTAAATAGTGCTCTGTGGACCAACAGCTCCAATGTGAAGGTCAGGTTGATTTTCAGCGATGTTTCTTAAAACATTAATAGCATCGTCCATGTGGTAAGGTTCCTCTAATCGAGCTCCCTATGAAGGAAAGTTCACAAATTTGAGTCGAAGAAATAAAGGAGTTTGAGTAAAAAGTATTTACAATCACGCAGTTATTAAGTTTTATTTTTTTTTTTTTTTGTATAAATAAAATACCAAGTTATGTAAGGATTTTTTTATTCTCGTATTCAACCAATTGATA